AGATAAATTCTGAAATTCACATAAACGAATCACCATATACCTTCAACACAACTTCCATAGCTTCTGAAATAAACCCGAACCAGCCCCCACTTTTCTGAGCAGTGGCGGCGGAGTCAGATACAGAAGTGCCGCCATCGACAGCCACGACAGCATCGGCCAACGTGTAGAGCAAGCTCTCAGCTCTTTCGACAATCGCGCCATGGTCGATTGGAGGGAGGTGGTGGAGGCTGAACCTCACCTTCGTGCTGATGCGCCTGTTGTGAGGTACAAAGCCATAGCGAGCAAGAGAAGGAAGAGGAGTCCCCAGGAAAGGAGGAGAAGAAATCAGGGAGCTCGCCATGGGAATTCTCCAATATCTGAAGAGAGTGGTCACATGGTTGGATATTTATTTGGTTTGTGGAGGATGGAGTCGAGACGCAGAAAATTATTTTCTACTATATTATCCGTATCTTTAGAGTGGAAATTGCGTTGGATATTAGTGGACATCATCAAGGGTTCATTGGTCTTTCTGTAGGCCTCGTCTTCCTACTGACTGTTGACTCACGAACAGGTTGGTGGCTGCATTATAAATTGAACTTTTTTTTTTCTTTTTTTTGGACAAATAAATTGAACTTCTTTTAATGTTCAATATGGTGTGGTGTAATTGGATATGGATCCAATCCAAAAAACAAATAATTATTTTCAAGTCAATTATTTTTTGAGAAATGTTATAATTACATAATATTGTACATAAGGGTGCACATAATACTCACATTAAGTGGATCCTACCAAAATAAAAAATTAAGTGAACCGCACTCATGTGAATGATATATACACTCACTTTAGCTCAACTTCACTATTATCAATATTATCAATATAATTAAATAATAATAATAATAATTATTACACGTCATATCAACTTTAATTCACTATTCATCCACTTACATAATTTTAACTAATTTCAATTCACATTTTGTCATACTTTTACAACAAATAAATTCAAAATCCAAGTAACAACTAACCAGACCACATTTTTTAAAACTAACTATGGATAACCAAAAATCAATCAAAACCAAATCAAATTCATATTCAGTCACACCCTTAGCGTCCTTGATACAAGTATACCGCTTATAACGGTTTTTTTATTAGTCAAAGTTAATTTTGAAAAAGTTTATATGGTTAATTGTTAGTGAGATTTTGAATTTATATTAAAATAATATTTAAAATAAAATGATTAAAATTGATCTGATGTAAAAGTAGAAGATAGATGATGTGAAGTGATGGTAAGTGAAAATTATGTAAATGGATAAATAGTGAATTAAAGTTGATTTGATGTGTAAGAATGATTGATTGATAATATTTAATTATATTGATAATATTAATGATCGTGTGATTGAATTAAAGTTGAGTAATATTTAAGTATGAATTGATTATGAGTTGAATAATTTATAAACAGACACACCCTTACTCATTTTCTTCCCTTCGTTTATTCGAGGCCCGCTCTTGTTGGCAGATTTGGACTCGAGTCTTGACTCCACCCGTCAAATTTGTTTAGTCGTTTTTTTTTTTAAACATGAGTTCTTAAGTCTGAGCGTGTTGGATCTGCATATGGGGGTTTGTGGTTTAGGCTTGAAGGCTTCTTATCGTGTTGGTTTGTGTTCGGCAAAATTTCAATTTGGTTCATTTACATGTCTAAAGTCCTTATTTGGTAGACTAACTTTCCCCTTATAAAAAATAATATGTTATGTTGCAATTTGTATCATTTTTTGGGACATTAATCTCAAAAAATAATGTACTATTTTTGAGATTAATGTTGTAAAATGATAAAAATGTAATATAACGTACTATTTTTGATAAGGGGAAAGTTAGTGTACCAAAAGAAGACTTTAGACAAGTAAACAGACCAAAACTGATTTTTTGTCGTTTGTGTTCCTAAGATTGTTGACGGTTCCATTTGCGGGTGAATGTAGGTCTCTGAGCTTCTAGGGAGGTGTTGTTGTCAAGAATGTATGAAGTCGGGGAAGTCTTATTGTATTGTATTAATTTTTGTTTTTTTATTTTTATTTTTTTGTCAGTCACCCTATGTGAAACAGTCGAGTCTCTCTATATGAAGTATTTTGTCTCCTTTGCTTTTGAGTTTTTTTGTAGGGTTGATCCCTTTGTGGAGGAGGAGCTTTTATGGTATGTGACTCCCAATGGTTGGTTTCTTTCTATCACTTCACAATTAGAATGATCTTTGTAATCAGTTGATTATCGTTTATAATTTATTTGAGGTTAATATAATAGTATTTGCCGTTTGAAATAATAATAATATCTTTTTAGAAAATACATTTATACAATGAATAGGGGCGGATCTAGAAAATTTATTTGGGGGGGACGAAATAATTTTTCAATAATGACATACTTCATTAAAAAGACAAAGTTGCATTTTTAGAATAGAAAAAAAAAAGTAGTTCAAAACATACACACCGTTCAAACTTTGTGACTGTTAGAATTGTGCTCGACGTTCTCTCAAGTCACGAAACCAATCGATGATTGACTCGGTAGTAATAAATCTTGCAATTTCTCTTTCAACAAAGATAGTCAAAAAATTTACAAGAAAGTCATCTTCCATTTTACTTCGAAGTTTGGATTCAACGATAGCCATAGCCGAAAATGCACGCTCTATGGTCTCCGGAGACGCAAGAAGAGTAAGAATCAACCTTATTAATCTATCAATCAACAGATATATTAAGGACTTTCTACTTTTCGCCATCCATTAACACAAATCAGAGATAGTGCACAAATTTTGAAATTCTGAATGCTTGAGAACATCAATCTCATAATGTCGCAATTGAACATGCAGTAAATCTTTTTCATAATCCGTGAAGTCTCTGGGATAAAATTCATTGACAAGAAGACAAGCGTCATCTATATCAAAAGACAATCGAGAATTGCGAGGATCAATGTAACGCCCCAGTCGATTTTTAAAGAAAATCCATGACTTTTACAAAAATCAAGGTAAAAAATTTCGAAACTTATTTTTCGAATCATAAACTTTTGGCGTTACTCATTCTTTTCAAAAACACAGTTCAAGTCATAACTGAACTACTGGGATTCATTACCCGAATTTTCAACGGTTTTCATTAACCACAATAACATAAACGTAAACATCAGGATATTCTCAATCATATATCAAGAAGATTTTTTCAACATAAACCATATCTAAATGTTTTCAAAATAAACAAGTTCAAAATCCAATCCAACATAAGTTCAATACCAACATAAGTTCATGAAAAAACGGAAGCAATTAAATAAGCATAATAAATAGCATGACCACCACTCGCCTTGTCTCGTCACGTGCCACTGCTTAACCTGCATCAGTTACGAGTAGGTGGGAGTGAGTACAGTTAAATATCGTACTCACACTATGCAATTCACATTTTGTAATATGTTAAATAGGCATGGTCGCAGCATGAACATAAACAATATCACATATGTCACATCTCCAACATAAACATAAATACTCTTGTGTACACATCTCTCATAATAGCCACGGGAAGGGGATTCATTACCCTAACGACGAGAGTATGTGCCATGCAAGGACACGGTCTTTCATAATAGGTCTTAAGGAGACTTGCCTCGCAAGGGCAACCGCATTACATCGACGAGGACAACCGTACCGATGACCATCATAATAGCTCACATTGATAGGCTACATATTCACGTTCATACATAGATCACGCCAAAACCGTAAACATATTTAAACACACGTTGCACAGAAATTTTAGAATAACTAACCCACCTGGAAATTTCGGATTGATGACAGCAAATCAGAAAAGATGTGGGTCGAGGTTTGACTCCTCAAACACCTACATTGTGTCAAGATCCTACAATCAATATCTTGACTTAAACGGAAAACACATATCAGACCTAGTCGAACTTGTTTCGACTAAGTAGTTCGTGAAGTCTTGTGGACATTGGAACACTAAGACTCGGCACTATACTCGACCAAACCACATATGAGAGTTGACATAAATCCATTTAAGGATTGACCAAGTCAAACACCCAACAAAATGAAAAGCAAGTTGAAAACCGATTTTAATTTCAAAAACATATTTTGAAATAATGACCATTAATCACATAAAAATACATGGTCCGGTTACCCTAAGACTTCAACTATGAAATTTTAATCAAAATTATATCTCCTAGTAATTTGAAAAACCACCAAATTTCAGCTTTAAATTCGAAGTACATTATTTATTAAAATTCTTACAAGATATCAGCAAAAACGCACATAAATTTATATCTAAACCTAATGAATGAACCAGGACTTGATAATTTAACACAACAAGCTACAGCATGATAGAGACAACATATAAAAATTTCAGCCCTGGACATTAACTGCACAATTTATAAAAATTCATACAAGTTTCAGCAGTTATCAAATTTAAATCAAAACAGAACCAAATTGAACTCCAAAAAATTATTATCTTTTAACAACCTGATAATAACCATAAAGTAAAAATCTCAGCCAAGTTTCAGAATTTTTCAAGAACAAACCGATTTATAGTAATTCAAACAACTTTCAGCAGAATCAGTAATTAAATCATTAGCCACATCAAATTTAGTCCAAAAATTCTAAAAATTTTATAGAGCATATAAACACAAGAGAGACATATCATACTCGAATTTCAGCTCATTTGAATCACAAACGAATTCATTATGCATTTTACAAGATTCTGATCAGAATTCACTTTATTTGTTAAAAATAGGTACAGGCCTCTAAAAATTCGAGATTTTTACACGGTTCTGGTAATCAATAGAAAACATATCCCTCAAAATTTCAAGTCATTCCGAGCAGTGTGGGATTTTTAAAAATTACCGGAATTGACAACTTAACACATCATTCAAATAATGAAATTTCTCATCCGAGGCCTTTCCATAAGGCCAAGGACTCGACATTGTTCCAATATCCACCGACTTACACGACTTTTGAGGTCTCGTTCAATTTCTCATAATTGAAGAGATTCCGAACAACACAAATACACATAAAATCATAACTTTCACATAGTTTCATGTCGAACTCATTGCTCGAAAAATATTCACATCTCGCATATCAAATCGCCAAGAGCACATCACGTCATTTAAACACGATAAGCAATTAACATATAAACGATTTAAACGAGACGGGATCGACTAGGTACCGTTCTCGAGAAAACTCGGAAAATGGAACGAAAGAGAAGGCAAGCTCGCGGCAAGCTTGACGGCAAGCGTTGTCTCGCGAAGGGAACAACAGCTGAGAAGGGGGTCGCTGCTGCTAGGCCACAGCCGGAGGGACGCTGCTGAGGGCAGCTGATCGCGGCGGCGGGCAGAGGCTCACCGGAAAAGCTTCGCGTGGAGGGAGAGATCGCCGGAAATTGCAGGCTCGCAGCGAGGGGGCGTCGGGGTCGCTGCTGGATGCTCCGGCGCGAAGAGGACGCTCGCCTGAAATGGTGCGGAAGTTGTTGAGGTCGCGGAAGCTCGTCGGGGGATGATGACGGGGTGCGCGTTTGCAAGCTCGCCGG